TTTTGCAACAGAGGTAAAAGCAACTTGGAAATGGCTTACCGGTATTAAACTAATTGCAAGTGATGTCTGATTCCAGTGTCAAAGGTACAAGAAAGCTTTGAGCTGCATAGGTAGATATCTTTGAATTGCAGGTATCGAGACAAGATAATACAGCAGAACAAATTTTCTAAAAGCTTATGACTTGAATAGATCAAAAGTCAATCACACTGTTAACGGTAATATTGTAAATCGTGTATACAATGATTCTCCTCTGTTTGAGATCAAACAATGAAATTTACTGAAACTGTCAAATGATCCCACTTAAACATACCAATGCCAGTGGAATTTCAGATCTCAATCGTCCAGTAAATATGTCACTCCATAATGCTCTCTAAGATAAAAATAATACACAATAATTATATTACAAATCATGGTAGACTGATTAAACACCAAACTGGTAGTAATTAATTACAATAAAATGATTAGTTATACATTAGTTAAATTAATTGCACACCTCTAACTCTGGTCTTGTTGCAAGTGCTTCTCCGATTGCCTCAGCAGCTTCGACTCCAATGGTGTTGCCTTCTAAGCACAATGCCTGAACATCTTTACTGGCTTTAATTGCATTAACAACCTCTGCAGCTGTAATAAGAGAGAATTAAAAGGTTGAAAGAATTTTCCTATTTCCCCTTGTTCCTGACATCCTGGGAATCCTCCTTCTTGCTCTTTATTCTTGAGCATCCTGAAGACTTCCTACGCCCCACAACTCTCTGGTCTCTACCCACTGTCCCCGATCGCTTGTTCCCTGCCTCCTAATCTATGAGATTCTCTTTCTGCTTGGTGAGAGATGAAAGGGAACCACCGCTCACAACTGTTCGATTTCCTATAGTGCATGTGCGAACTATGTCAGCATGTCGTGTGTGTCGTGCTTTAGCATGTGAAACATGATGAACTCATGTCAGCGCAGTGATGCCAATCGTAATTTTGTAGCCAATCACAGGACAGCAGATATTTTTGGCAGTCTCACAAACAGACAGCGTTATGAGTCGTATCTGTCTGACATGCGTAAGTTTTAAACAGGTTAAAACTTGTCAAAAACCAATATCATCAGCTCCTTTGATGCACCCTGATCTGAGTGATCTTGGATCACTGCTACTGATCCTGGACTATGCCAAAGGAACACACCATAAGTCACCCCTGGTTGTCAAGAGGTTGCAAACGGTTGTGAGCAGAGGTTCCCTCTCATCTCTCACTGACCAGAAAGCGATGGGAATCTCTCTCTCGCAGGGTAGTTCAAATTCCGCCACACAAGAGGTTTCCCTCCATGATCCAACATACACATGTATCTTCCATAACATTAAAAATCTTAGCTCACTGTTCACCGTTTTCCCCATGAATTTAGGCACGGGGTTCATTCACCTTACAATTTTAAGGAACGATCACTAAATTAACTGTGAAACAACTTTGGCTTACCATCATCTGCGGAGTTTAACTTGAAACTTTTTCCTTTGAAACTTACAACGTTGACTTGTCCAACTTTAGTTTTTGCCAGCAAATCTGCAACACCTTGAACTTCATCTTTTGATTCAGTCATCTTGGAAAATAGCCAGTGGAAATATATGTATTTGTGTCTAAGAAAAAAACTGAAGACCGCGCTGGAAAATAAGCTTAAAAAAATAAGGTGTAGTGTTTTACCATGTGCAAAATGTGGTCTCAACGTTCAATTCGCCGGCTGCGGTGTTAATGACTCAAGAGAGGGGTCTGGAAGCTAGCGCACTTGCGCATACTTTTAAAAAGTACTTAAAGTGGTCATTGCGGGCTCGCAGAAAGTTTGAACTTTTTTTCCGCTAACTTTTCCGCATAATTGTTTGACCATAGTTTTGGTTTGACTGATATCTAAAAAGCTTCTTTACTGTCTTTACTGGCTGAAGTACGGCGGGAAAAGCTGGTGTCAGAAAGGAAAATTAGAGCTAGTGGGCTATTTTTGTACAGCAACGTCAGGATTTCCAGTTAAATTCAATTCAGCATTTGTGACGCAGAATAGAAGCTATGGTCACTATGCGGAAGTTGGCCGCCTTTCTAGAGTAAGACCTTTCTAAAGCAAGTTGAGTTCTTATTAATAATAAAAAATCGCCTCCACAAGCGTATTCGTGTTGTTTTTGCCTGTCCGCATTAATCATTTCATTCATTTCATTTCATTCGAAAACCAATACTAAATACTTCTGCCCGTTTTTGATACGTTTTCGCCTGTTGTCCACGATAGACGAAAACTCTTAATATTTTAACTTTTGTTCTTTTATTGCATGTATGTAGACAGGTTAATTTTAATTATAGTAATTATTATAGTTAGGAATTTTTAAATCATTGTAATTATGACATATTTTTTAATTCATTGTGACTTTTTATTGTTCATACTTTGTACTATACTTACAGTACCCAGTTATTTTATAGTTACTCGTGGATTTTAGCACAGAGGGCCACTAGTTTATCAGTTTATCATCTCATGTGTCAGCCTCTCTAAATAAAGTTGATTGATTGATTGATTGATTGATTGATTGATTGGTTGATTGATTGATTGATTGATTGGTCGGTTGGTTGGTTGATTAATTGATTGATTGATTGCTTGATTGACGCTAAAACGCCGGAAAAGCCTGATGGACGCGACAATTTATGACGCTTGTTTTTGTCATCGTATCATCAGAGTTTTTCGGCGTTTGTGTGTAGACGTTGGTGAAACGACGCATCCAAAAAGAATGCGTATTAAAAAAAACCCTGAAAGTTAGGAAATGAGACTTGGATCGTCTTATAACCAGGCTACTATTCCCTGAGCTGCGCATTATTGTCTTGTCTCAGGTGTAAGAAACTCCCCATGCCCGAACGCTTATTTGTGAGAGGTCGCTGCGAGGTTATCGGAAACTGAAGAACCGAATGTGTAAAAGAACAAGGAAACGTCGTTTGAAGACATTTCAAAGAAAAAAAATTCTAGAATTGCTGTACCGACAAGAAATTAGGTAAAACTATCTTCGCTACCCCTCCCTGATGGGTCATGGATAACTGGTAATTACAGGGTGGGGAGGGTGGGGAAGGGATTTTATGGTCTTTCATGTAGTCGTTGGAAAATGAATATCATCTGGCGGCGATGCGATGTGAAGCGTCTGTAAGCTTTTATACTGTACTAGTGTGTTGGTGGTGATGAAATTTGTAAATAGCCTACAGCACAAAATGGGCATAGAGGTTTCGGTCCAAAGAACCGTCGTTCTTGAGCGCACAGGTTATCTGAGTCATCACCAATTGTTTCGTCACTGCCTTGTTCAACTGGTTTAGCCTCAAGCTGCTTTTCTTCTCGGCCAGTACCTAGCGCAATATCCTGAAGGTCATCACAGAAGAACGCAAATTTTCCCGGCACAATACCGCTAATGACGTCATTGGGCCGATCTTGAGCGGACTTTGGACCAATTATGTGTCACATGATTATCTCCAAGAAAAGTTGTCAACAAACCAAGCTGAACGGTACTGGACGGCAAGACCAATTTCGACGCGGGGAAAAGGGAAATATTTGTGCGTTACAGAGGATAAAAGGAAAAGTGAAGGTTGTAGCGGTGCAGAGTTCTGAAAGGAAAGGTAAGAATTTAATTCAAAACGTAACTAACAAACCAACCGTTTACAACAACCTGTCGTAATCGTGTAAACTCTGTTTCTTCCCGCGAAGCTGAAATGAAGTCTCCCACAGATGTTGTGTTTCGTTCTCTCGACGAAACTGCAAATTGGCAAAGAATTTGGTGGAATGAAAAATTCAAGCGAATTTTTTCTGTTAGTTCTCGTCCCGTATTTGGTGGTTGTAAAATGGCTGTAAAGCTGTGTAAAGGGAAATGGCGGAAAAATTGTCATTGAGGTTATGTTTTGACTGTTGTCCAAATAAACGAAGTCACATCATGTGCTGATATTTGACATATTTTGGTTGCAGTACTAGAGTTACGAGAGCTCTATGAAAGTAATTTAAACCTAAATACTCAGAACGTCAAACAGATATAAGCTTGAGATTATTTGAATGGAACATTTGCTTAAATTTAAGCTTACGCCTAAGTTTGAATTTATTATGCGGGTAAGCTTTAACTGAGTTAAATCGATCGCACTATCGGTGCACAGATTGAATATTCATGTTTATGGTAACTTATCACTATTAATTTGCTTTTCGGACGTCAAACCTTGCTACTAGAATTTTAGTGTGTTGTGGATATTTCATGGAATATCACATAACTCTTGGGTCCTCCCACACTACGCCCCAAAGCTCAATAATCATTACCAGTCTCTCTCCTTTTGCTTGAAGCATGGGTGATTTCATGAGTTTTGCAGATTCTAGCATGGCGTCACAGGAATGAAAAGAATGGACAGTTCTTTTGTCTCCTGTTGTCGTCTCTTACACAAAATTATAGGGAAAACCACTAACCTTGTGTCCTGCAAAACACTGTGGCACTAAACTCAGACTTGTATCCAGGCCTTTTCACGCTGTGCCACCATTTTCTGGTTTAATTATAATTCATTAACCCCTTGAATACCAAACTTTCGCCAAAAAATACCATTTGATGACGTCATAAGTGGTACAAAGAGCATGACCATTAATTACGCATATATGTGTAGTTGGTATTCAAAGGGTTAAGGGAGACAAGTCTTTGCCCAGTAAGTTTGAATAAGAGATGACAACAGGAGACAAAGTTAAACTTTTCATTCTTTTCATGCCTTTATTCACTCACATCTTGTTGGACAAGATAATTTGTATGCTCTCTGTGATGGCTAGAAAAATCACTAAATATAGTTGTAGTGATAATGCGAGAACTGGCCCAGTTTGGTATATTTGTGTGATCCCAGAAAATATCTTTACCCACCAGTAGGAGGGTATTAGAAATTCCAAGGAGGGGAGGTCTCAAAAGTCAATTTTTTAAGGAAAGTATAAAAGTAAACTAGAATTTCCAGAAGGAAGGGAGGGTGAGGGCATTTAAACTAAAAACTTTCCATGGGAGGGGTATGGTTATTTTGTTGAACAACTCATTCTACAGTACATCTCATCAGTAACTCCAGAACAAGGACGAGGGAGGGGGTAACTTTCTATTGGGACTTATAAGGTTGTCAATAAGGGCTGTAATGTGTAGCACCTGTTATGGCTGAGCATGCTTGATGGGCACTTGATGTTACAGGTGAACTTGCCTGTAGTTGATACAATTCAGCCATAAAGTAACAAGTTTGTTACAGGTGTGAAAATCAAGGTTACAGATGAATCAAAACTGTATGACTGCCCTAACCATCTGTCTAATATAAGGAAATTTGAGAAGACATTTTCTAATAGAGGTCAAATAAATGTGAAAGGCCTTGTTTCATGATACCTGCCACTACAGGAAAAATGGGGGACTTTGTTATCAGAGACAGGTGAATTTGAAGATATCTTGCATGAGGGTGTAAGGATCACTGTTCAAAAGAAATTTGGTCTCTACTCTACCAGAATACGAAACAAAGTAGACTACACACTCTTAGGTGTTGTTCTGGGAGAAAAAGTCCCATTCTCTCTTTTTAGTCAAATTTTGCTTACATGGTACGCATAAGGAAAATAGTATCGTGTACTAAATTTTATGAATTCTGTACCACTTCAACAAAAACTTTGAAATTTTTTATTTTCTATCATTTTAGCATGGAAGCAGTGGACAGTAGTAATCCAGTGATGCCTGAACCTGAATGGGCCAAACCAAGAGACAAGAATGCACCTCAACCGGTACAGCTTTGATCTACCTTTAATTTAACTCTCTGTCAAATTTTATTTACAATACAGTCGAACCTCGATTATCTGAACTCGTCAGGACCT